TCCATCCACAAGCTCTTTCTTAAACTGCAGAGATGTACGGGCATAGCTAGCTTCTCCACAGCCAATGCATTAACATTGACTCATCACGCCAGGTCTAAGCCGGATAGCAAGTGCGACCGGAGGAGGTGACACGATTGCTTTCTGAAAATAATGTGATAAAAAAAATACTTAATTTAAGAGGGAACGAATATATTGAGACAATCAGAGAACGTTCTCAATAGTATTGTTGTTAAGCAACATATGCAAGAACGGTTTAGGGAAATCCCCTAAATTTAAGAATTAGTTTATGTAGAGATATTGCAAAGATTAGAGTCTGATTATCAATTCAATACTGCAAATATGCCATAGTAAAGATGAAACAAGGCGAGAAAGTCAGTAAGACGAGGTTGGATTTTTCCGTATATTACACATGAAACAACTCAGACCCTGATGTGTTTGTGTTTCAGAGTTCAATTGAGAATATAACAGGTTAATGGGAAAATTTGCATCTCATCTCCTTTCTGTACAATTATTGAGGGGTATTTATACTATGAAACCCACGAACACAATCTTCGATCGAGGTTGACATGTTACTGGTATGATTACCATTTAATGCGATGTGATGACTAGGTGCATAACTGACAGGTGGGTCCCATGTCAGTCGATTGCTTGTCCACAAGGTTGCTGACAAATGTCTTGTCTGTATTTAATGTTCTGTCAGAGTCCGACCTTGAGAGGGTCTAACTGTCCTTTTTATATCACGATCCGTGTGCTATGTTTGAAGGTGGTTGTCCGTCTTCCGGTTCTTTCTATCGTCCAACTTATACTTCAAAGAGTTCGGATGCTCCAGAATCTTTCTAGGTCCGAGTCCGAGCTATTGGCTGAGAAGTTGGAGTTTGACTAATCTTATCATAATGTTGATACTTAGGAATAGTTGTTAAGTGCTTTTAATGCCATGTATAGCTTTTTTATATTGGTGTCAGATCGGGTGTTAACATACAGGCCCCCGAGTTCGGTCATCCCACTATTGATGTAGAGTCGTCCGAAGTCGCTTAATACTGTTGAATTAGCCGAGTTGACTCAAAGATATTGATCGTCAACTGATATTCTTTTGTTATGATTGCATTGATTGGGGTCTGTGCGTGTTGGTTCTCATGATACGGCACTCAACGGTCAATTTTTGATTTCTTTTGTAAAACGTTACGCTCGCCACGTGGTGTCGATTAATGAGGAAACCTTTTATTATATAAAGGAAACATATCCCTTTTTCTTGATTTTTCGCACTCTTGAAATTCTAGCACTTGTAATCTTAGACTTCCGAGTACTTACTGGCAACTTCATCAGATTTTCTGCCATCAACATTTCCGATAAGGAATTCTCCAAAACTTTCTTGTTTTGTTAAATCATAATTCATATGGCTTCACGTGAAGTTGGTTGTTTCGATCCCAACTGAAGAAGTTAGTGAATCGTTAAGGTGGCGGCGACGGTGTCTGGGAGATCTTTGGCGTCTCCGGAGGAGGTGGCGGCCTAATCGGCGTCGAAAAGTGATGTCGATTTAGTGTGTTTTAGTGTATTTTGGTGCTATGGCTAGTGTTTTGTATTTTGGGATCAATTCTTCATTTTACAAGATTTTTGTTTTCTCTCTCTCTCTCTCTCTCTCTCTCTCTCTCTCTCTCTCTCTCTCTCTCTCTCTCTCTCTCGTTTTCTTTCTCGCTCTAAGAGCTCAAAGACCCAATTTTTATTGTAATAATTCTTCGTCATGATTACAACTTTTCGGCTTATTTCTTCTCGTGGATGCACTAGAGACTTGGAGATTTAGTTTAAGGTCCAAGATCTCGTAAGTTTTTTTTGTTTTTACTTATTAGATTTTTTCTAGTGTAAAAGTAGGAGCTTTCATGAGTGGAGTATACTATCATTCTCGAAGGCTGTGAAATACATGATTTTGTTGTTGATTGCGTGAGCGAGAATTAATTGAGTGCTCGATTAGTTGATTCACGAGTGGCGATATCTTGATTGTATGTTTCCGAATCTATGCGTGCATTCTTTACATCTTGGGTCGTAGGATACCTTGTTCTTTTCTCGCTATTTCCTTTTTATTGCAATTTGAGGACTTACTTGCGTTAAAGTTTGAATCTTGCTTCCGTTGAAGTTTAAAGTTGTGACATTTGGCTTAATTCAATCCCCAAATTGTGAATAGAGTGTTTAGGACTTTGTTTTCTTTTCTTGTGTGAGTCAATCGTTGTTCAAATTCGTGTCCACGCAAACTTACCCGAGAGACACCATCCGAGGTCGATCTTTTGATCGTGCTTGCTAAAACTACAAAACATATACAAGAATTCAATTTATAATATTGAAAGTTGTATTTCACAATACGTACATAAACAATAGAATAACAATATAAGTGTTTTTATACATATTTTTAATAATTTAGAAAAAAAAAAAAAAAGGTGACTTCAAAGGTCTTTTAAGAATTCTAGAACATTTAGTTATTTTCTACACATGTTATATCACATTTTAGATATTTTTATTATCTGAGAATCACATTTTATGTATTTTTTGCACAAATTAAATTTCATGTACCATTTCGATGAATTAATATAAGTAAATTGTATTACATATTAATATAAATTGAATTATTTTGAGTAATGTAGATTGAGTGGATGATTTTGAATTTGAAATTAAATACTATTTAAAATGTAATCATTAAAATTTATGTAATCTAAAAGTTAAAATAAAGAGTGAATGATTTTGAATGAAATTAAATACTATTTATAATATAATAATTAAAGTTGATGTAATCTAAAAGTAAGTAATAGATTATAAAAAATGATATTTAATTAAAATTATGTGAGTTGATCAATGATGAATTAACATTGATGTGAAATGTAAGGAATGAATCACTGATATTATTTAATTATATTTATAAAAAAAAAAAAATAGGATAGTTGAATTCAGTTGAATTTTGAGTGAGGTGATTGAATATAAAGTTACTCAGCCATTATAATCGATTAAGTTGGATAATAATTCATATCAAATCGCCCCCTAATAAATTACTAATGATCATTTTGCTCTATCAATAAATCAAATTTGATTAAAAGATTTTTAGTTTATAATATCTATCGGAAAAAAAAAAAATTAAAACTTTTTTTCTTCTTCCATTGGTGTTACCAAATGTTAGTAGCTATTTGCTCTAAAAAATCCAGTGACAAAACCACGAAACAAAGGTTTTGTTCAAGATTGTGCGTCCTCTCCTTTCTCATCGGTTTTCCACTTATACGGCCGCACCAATACCCATTTTTGCTTCCCTTTTTCTCGTCAGAGTACCGAATTTCATTCACTCATCCGCCCATCTGAACTCGACCACCGTCGCTGTCGGCCCACCGCCGCCAGTTCCCGCCGTGAGGTATTTCTATCTCTTCGTTTCTTTCTTGGTTCCTCTTCAACAGCGTAAAAGGGTGCAATTTTATGCTTCATTAGTTGTTTCTGCAAGTGCCCATTTGGGTTTTT